AGACAACTCGCGCGCCGAAGAAGGAAATCCATGCGCCGCCAGAGGTATCGGTTTAAGGGGTCGCTGCGAAGGTTGACCCCCCGCGGGAAGAAGAGAGGGCGCCCGGCAATGGGGGGGGGGTCTCAAGCATGAGTCGCGGGACTGATGTCGCGCAGCGCGAGGCCCTCTGCGGGCGGCGCGGGCAAGCGCGAAAGGGGCGCCAGTCTCAGCGCTGCAGCCGCAGCGGTCCGCGACCGCAGAAGCCCCGAGGAGGCGGCCCAATTTATATGGAGCTGGCCAGCCCGCGGCACTATGCGCGACGGCTGGGGCGCGCGCCTGTCGCGGCTGCAATTGCCCACTGGGGCGTTCACGCAGAGCATCGCGGAGACGCGCCTTCCTCCCGGCCCCCGCCGCGAGACGCGATTTCGACGCGGCAGCGGTCGTCGAACAAGGTCTCGCCCACTTCGCCAACGCCTGGCTCCAGAGAGCCAAGGACACGCCCCAATGCGCAGCGCGGCAAGTCGGGCCCCCGCGCAACCACCCCCGCCGGGGCGACCGCACCATGCAGAAAAGCGAAGGCGGATACCTCGGCCGACCCGCCCCCGCTGCGCCGGCGGTGCAACCGAGAAGAGGGGGCGCAGGAGCGCGCCGTCTGGAAATGTCCGCGCCAGGCCAGCGCGCGAGGGCCCCGGTGACCATGGCCTCGGAAGAGCAGCGGAGAGACCTCCCGCAGCGCACTCGACGCCGCGGGCTCCCCGACGAGCGCGCTAAGCTCCTCGACCTGCAGGCGGACCTCGCCCGAGACGAACCCCGGCAATCCATCCCCAGGCCGCCGACAGAAGGCCGGGATGAGGACCGCTCCAAGGAATGCCACGACCGCCGCGGGAGCTTGGCGGCCCCGTGCGCGCAGCCGCCGATGGAGCTCGCCGCCAGCGCCAAGCCCACCGCCTTCTCGCCAGGGCTGGGTTCGGCGTGTACTACGGCCCAGAGCACTGGCTAAGCCGTTCCGACCGAGTCCCGCGGCCTGGCGCAGTCAGCACAACGCGCGAAAACCCTGGCGCTCCTCTACCTCGCCGCCGCGGCTGAGAAACTCGTTCGCGCCTCCGTCGACACCCAAGTCGTCGTCGACGAATTCGAAGCTCTTCTCGGAGGAAATCTCTCGCAAGCCGAGGGCTCACAGGCCGACCTCTGGCAGCGAGTCCATCGGGCGGCCAAGGCCAAACCTTGCATGTTCAAACGTTTACATCGAAAGCTACCTCGGGGAGCAAAAGATCGACCAAAGACACATCTCACCAATCGCCGAAGCCTGTTCACCGTCACGCCGAGGAGCAAGACACAGCCGGAGCCAACACGCACTCCACGCCGCAAGACGTCATCGATGCGGCCAAACGGAGACGCACATCCGCGGCTGTCCACCGCAGCACTGCGGTCGCCACGTGCGATCGCCACCACCGCGCTCCCCCGCACCCCCCTCAGACGAGCGGGATGCTCCAGGCCAGATCTAGATTGGATGAGCTCCAACCCGCTCGCCGCGGGGGGCGGCGGGGGCGAGCCACCGGGCCCGCCTGGCGACCCCTCCCAAGCCCAAGGCGCGCCAAGGCCAAGGCATTGCGATGAACTCGACGACCCATGGGACATCCTTCCTGACCACCTTGAAGGAAACGCAGAGGATCCTCTGGGCCCGGGGGCGGCCCTCGACGACGACGAGGACGACCCCGCCCCAACCAGGCTGCCACGACAACGATGGCCACGACGCGGACGACGAGTCCCTCCCACGCCCAAGCAGGCATACGACGGCAAAGACCCACGAAATGGAGGTCCACCAGGACCCCACCGCAAGTAACTCACTCCTACGTACGCAGCACGACACTGACATCGACCACACGGGAGGCGGTGCGGACTTTACCGTCACCCCCCGACGCAGGCAACACACACCCTGGGCCACATCTGCGCCAGCAGCGCCATCCACCCGAGAGAGGATCTGGACCGGCCAGGTGCTGCGGCATACCGTCCCCCGACGCAGCGCTTCCTGCCACCAGCCGCTCCCCCCGACTCACCGGAAAACGGGGGCACCTGGCCCGCGCAACACCCACCAGGGTGGAGGCGCCCGTCCGACCCCAGTGTGGCGCACCGACCGGAGGCGGCCTCACCCGGCGCCTCGTTTCGGCCAGATCACAGCCACCACGGGACCGCGAAGCCACGCTCACCCACGGCATTTCAGCAATGCGCCTCCAGCCTCGCAGCCACACCTCGTAACCTCGACAGGCTCCGTAAAGCACTCCGCCTGGAACGATCCCGGGTAGGCCCTCTGCACGCCTGCCCTCCCTGGGGCCGCGCTCCGGGAACGTCTCCGGGCACGACTTTCTGCTCACCGCTAGCGCACCAATGCTAGCTGCCTCTTTCCTTTCACACTTCGTGCCCTGCGAGAGCTACTGGGATGTCCTGGCGCTGGGCCGCATCTCGCTGAGGGAGATGCCCCAAGGCGGCGCCTATCTTTCACAGGGTTCCGAGGCGCGCGTGCCAAATCGTGCTTGAAGCCAGGGTCTCCTCTCAGCTTCGGGAGTGCAGACGGTTTGTGCCACACCCTGATCACCACGACCCGCTAATTGCTTTGTTCCAGTCGGGGTCCCCATTTAGACCGCGCCACGAGGAAGATTTGTCCACCCCTGTTTCTTACAAGCGGCACCTCCCGCCAACGAGGTGAGGGCAAGAGGCGCTTGTACCCTCCGCCCGCGGAGGAACTCCTCGTCCGAATCGTTGCGCCATCAGCCCTGCTCTTCCTCCCCCCTCTGTCCTGGCAGAGGGAGGGGGTGAGGGTGAGGGTGAGGGTCAAGCTAGCCAGCTCGAGCGAGTCAAGCATGGCATGCCCATTCCCACCCGCCCTCCCACAACATAAGAAACAGTGATGGCACAACTGGGGGTTGCGCGGGCATTTCGGTGCGAGTGGAGGATACCCCAGGACACCGCATTGACGTCCGCGCGGGATGTGCGCCGCGTCCCATTCCCGCCACGAATTTCGCAACGTCGACGACAAGACTGGCCATGTTGAAAGGAACAACGGACAAGTTCCGCCCTCCCACAACATAAGAAACGATGCTGGCGCAACTGGGTGCTGGCGCGTAGTGGTAGTAGTAGTAGTAGTAGTAGTAGTAGTAGTAGTAGTAGTAGTAGTAGTAGTAGTAGTAGTAGTAGTAGTAGTAGTAGTAGTAGTAGTAGTAGTAGTAGTAGTAGTAGTAGTAGTAGTAGTAGTAGTAGTAGTAGTAGTAGTAGTAGTAGTAGTAGTAGTAGTAGTAGTAGTAGTAGTAGTAGTAGTAGTAGTAGTAGTAGTAGTAGTAGTAGTAGTAGTAGTAGTAGTAGTAGTAGTAGTAGTAGTAGTAGTAGTAGTAGTAGTAGTAGTAGTAGTAGTAGTAGTAGTAGTAGTAGTAGTGTAGTAGTAGTAGTAGTAGTAGTAGTAGTAGTAGTAGTAGTAGTAGTAGTAGTAGTAGTAGTAGTAGTAGTAGTAGTAGTAGTAGTAGTAGTAGTAGTAGTAGTAGTAGTAGTAGTAGTAGTAGTCGTAGTAGTAGTAGTAGTAGTAGTAGTAGTAGTAGTAGTAGTAGTAGTAGTAGTAGTAGTAGTAGTAGTAGTAGTAGTAGTAGTAGTAGTAGTAGTAGTAGTAGTAGTAGTAGTAGTAGTAGTAGTAGTAGTAGTAGTAGTAGTAGTAGTAGTAGTAGTAGTAGTAGTAGTAGTAGTAGTAGTAGTAGTAGTAGTAGTAGTAGTAGTAGTAGTAGTAGTAGTAGTAGTAGTAGTAGTAGTAGTAGTAGTAGTAGTAGTAGTAGTAGTAGCCCTGAGTCGCCGAAAGATCGTTCCAAGACGCCCAAGATGGCCTCCAGACGGCCGTAGCGCCAAGAAGCCGCGGGGAGACTCAGGAGGCCCTCCAAGAGCCTGAACAAGCAAAAACCTCCCAGGCATTCGTCACCCCAGGGCCTCCTGGAACGCCCCGGCGCCCAATGAATTGGCGAGCTAAAAACGTGCGCCGAGCCAAAGCGGGAACGCAACTTTGAGAAAATTTCGCTCGGCGCCCAAGCGAGAATGTCATTTCATTCACTTCGAGCGGGGGGGGGTGCCGCGCCCAACTCTTGCCATGCGCTTTTGCGGGGTGGACGACAAGAAAAGCCATGTGGGCAAGCGAAAATCAGCATGGCATTGCCTCTCTTTGCTACTGACAAGTAGGGTGGCCCCTCCCGCCTTGGGGTTGCCCCAAAAGTCCGCGCGCGATGTGCGCCGCGCCCCATTCCTGCCACGCATTTCGCATCGTCGACGACACGACAGGCCATGATGAAAGGAAAAACGGCACTTCTGTATTGTTTTTTAAAGTCAGGATGGGGGGGCCCGCAGCCCGCATGGACGTCCGCGCGCGATGCGCGCCGCGCCCCATTCCTGCCACACATTTCGCACCGTCGGCGACAAGGCAGGCCATGCTGAGAGGAAAAAACCGAAACTTTGTATTGATTTTTTACAGTCAGGATGGGCGGGCCCGGATTGACGGCCGCGCGCGATGTGCGCCGCGTCCCACTGCTGCCACATATTTCGCACCGTCGGCGACAAGGCAGGCCATGCTGAGATGAAAAACGAAGACTTCGTATTGATTTTTAAAGTCAGGATGGGCGGGCCCAGATTGACTGCCGCGCGCGATGTGCGCCGCGTCCCATTCCTGCCACGCTTTTCGCATCGTCGACGACAAGAAAGACGATGTTGAGAAGAAAAACGGCCAAGTGGTATTGATTTTTTACAGCCCGGATGGGAGGTCCCGGATTGGGCCGCTATCGGCCGGAATACGAAGTAGGTGGGGTTATATTCTAATAAGGAACAAGGATGAGGGTGGTGGTGGTGGTGGTGGTGGTGGTGGTGGTGGTGGTGGTGGTGGTGGTGGTGGTGGTGGCGGTGGCGGTGGCGGTGGCGGTGGCGGTGGCGGTGGCGGTGGCGGTGGCGGTGGCGGTGGCGGTGGTGGTGGTGGTGGCGGTGGTGGTGGTGGTGGTGGTGGTCTACATCTCTGGGCCCCGTACCTCGAGGTTGCCGTTGCGCACGCCGCCGCCCGTGTTCAGGTTCGGCGAGAAGTGCGCGCCGACCCGGCCCAGGGGGGTGTCTGCCGGCGGCGGGCCCAGGGAGGCATGGGCAGAGGGGGCGGGCCCCCCCGGAGAGCCCGGAAGGCCTCCGGCCTGCCGAGAAGCCTCCGGGGCCTCCTCCGGAGCCACAGGGTGCTCCTCGGGAGGCCGGAGGGCTTCCGAGGGGCCCCGCCGCCTCCCGAGGAGGCCTGCCCCCAGCTCGCTGCCCGCTCGGCGCGCCGCCGAGCCTGTGCCCGCCTCCGCCTTGAAGGCCTCGGCCTGCACGAAGCCGCCCTGGCCCCTGATCGCGTGGACGCCAGCGTTGGGGGCAGAGAGTGCCACCTTCGCGCCGCCTTCTGCGGCACCTCATGGGGGCCTCTCGTTCCATCTCGCTGGCTCCTGCCAATCGACGCTGATCGGCGCTAAATCGGCGCTATTCCATCGATCACCAGACGCTAATCGACGCTAGATCGACGCTAGATCGACGCTAAATCATCGCTATCCCATCGATCACCCGACGCTAGATCGACACTAGATCGGCGCTATCCCGACGATCACCCGACGCTAAGGCGGAGTTGCGAGGGCATACGAGGCTCCCATGATTTGCAACCGAACGCCGCCGTGGCTCACGGCGGCCACCTCGCCAAGCCCGGCGGACGCGACGAAGTGCTCGCGGGTCGCGGCAAACTGCACCCCGGCTGGTTGCGGGATCTTGCCGTTGCCTCCGCAGAGGAAGTGCACGAAGTGAACGGCGAAAGTCTGGCAACTGTTCGTGACCAGGTTGTATTCCTTGGCGCCCCCGCCGTGCTTGTTCCACCACTCGATGAATACCTGGATCTCCTCATCCGTTTTTGAGGTTTCTCCAGCCTTCGAGCAACCATCCAAGCTGCGGCTTGCAGGAGTCGAATCTGCAGGATTCAGACCATCACAAGTGCCAGCCTGGTATTTGTGACGTCCCACCTGGACGATCCAGTGCTGCGCGACAGCCGTGAACAAATGCCCTCCCTCACGCTGGTCCACAGAGCGGGACGAACTCAGACTTGAGCCCTGGCTGCTGCCGATAACGGCATTGCTGACCGCAATCCAAACGTTGCGCACCATGTCTGAATCGTGCAGCAGCCCCAGGCCCGAGCCGGTGTGGCAACTGCTGTACCAAATCCCGCACGCTTGGCCCGAAACAGCTACGGTGGACTCGCGCTCCACCATCCGAGCGTCGTCCTTCCACATGCGCTGAGTACCTCATCGCGCCACCGTGAAGAACGCCGAACGTGAAACGAAGAGGCTTTCCTGGCCGAGGCGAGCGGCGGCCGCGAAAGGCTCCCCGACCCATAGGTCCAAAGAACTGCTCGACAGCTGGGAGCCCCTCCCGAGCCCAGAGTGATCCGGAGTGCAACGTCTGGACTGTAGGGCGGGTTCCCGTCGCCTCTGTCGCCCCACCCCGTCGCCCTGATTGCCCCCGACCAAAACCCGCGCAGAGCTCGCTCCCCCGACCCCTCCCGGGGTTCGCCCGGGCCTGCTGCTGTTCAGGCCGCGCCTGGCGGCGGCGACAACGAGACCCCAGCACCGCCCGAACCGAAGACGGCGTCGACGCCCCGGCTGAGGCGGAACGACAGGGGCGGACTGGCTCAGGGAGGGGAGCATTGACTTGGAGTCAGGGGTGCATCGCCGATAGATCGGCGATTGGCCTCCGATAGCGCACCCGCGCGCGCTTGGCCGGGGTGGACTGTCAGGCCCTTGCCGGCGATGCACGTGCGGTGGGAGGTCGACGCGTTTCCCGCTGAACCTATCCCCCCCCCTCCGACGTTGCTCCTCACTGGCCGCACGCGCGGCTCAGGGGACGCGCGCTGAATACAGGTCGCTCCGGCGAAGGGCCACCCCTACGCGCAGCCGAAGCACTCGTCCCTTGTGAATCCTCCTCCTCCGTCTTTTCCTCCTCCTCCTTTTCCTCCTTTTCCTCCTCCTCCTCCTCCTCCTCCTCCTCCTCCTCCTCCTCCTCCTCCTCCTCCCCCGGTCGAATGTTGCCACAAATGCCCCTGGCCCAAGGTGGCCCCAGGTGTTCCAAGGAGCCCACGGCCTCCAGCGCACCACTCACGAGGCCCACGTGGCCCCGGGGGTTCAAGATGTGGGAAAACGCAGAAGCACTGTTACCGCAACTCCCCAAACCTCTCCAGGGGTGCATTTCGACCAGGATTTCGAGGCGAATCCAACGGTCTTTTTTGTTGACCGCTACAAGCCATGCTCCACAGGCCCATCCGAGAGAAAGGGGGCCTGATTCCTCGACGGTGTCGCAGAAGAGGAACGAAGCGAGCGTGGCGTTGCACGCAAGAAAAAAGCGTCGCGTGTGGACCCGACCTCAGCGGTGACAACCCAGGAGGCCAGGACCAGACGCAGCCAGGAACCCCGACGTCACGCAGGCAGCTCGGTGAAACCTGAAGGCCCATGCAGATGCGCACGGGCCACAATAGAAACCTGGCCCTCCCGCAAGGGCGGTGCCAGCTACAGCCAACTGGCGGCAGTTCGAATGGCCAGGCCAGCCTGGCAGGCGCGACCTCCAGAGAGGGAGGCACGCACGAGGAGGAAAGGAACAAAAAGGCGCAACCTGTATCCTCGCCACAAGCTGAGTAGTCACTCGCGCGGCCAGACAGACGATCAACAGGTTGCACAACGCCGACCGTGGATGAAACACCACGCGCAACACGAGCCCACGCACCAAGAGAGGCACGCAGGAGACAAATAAACAGTCGGGGCACACGGAAGCAACCTCCACGCGTGCCTAAGCCAGTGCTGCTGTCAGCAGAGAGAGAGTGCACGTTTGTCCGAATCGACTGACAGCTCGGTACCGGCAGCGAATGGGAAGGACGAGGCCACCAGCGGTGCCTCCACGTCCTCCCTCCCTAGTCTATCCACCACCTGCCCCAAAGCACATAGCTCCCGTGGCACGACGGAATACAGCTCGGCGGTGGACGAGGATGAGCTCGGCTGCCTTGGGGCCCCAGGAGGGGTGTTGAGGAGAAGCCAGCGTGGAGGAACCAAGCCGCTGCTTCCTCCGCTTCCAAGTCGGGAGGACAGCCTGGGCCTCCACTAGTCTGGCGAGGGTGCATGACAGCGCTCGGGGGGTCAACTCCCCAGACTGGCCACTCATTCAAGAGCCGCGTTCAACCGTGCTACGCTTGGGATGCACTCCTTGACAAATCTGGGACCAATCATAGTTAGCCCCCGAGCTCTGCGGACGCTGGTTACGGTTAGTCAACAAGCTCATGGCCCGATCATGACACGAATGCGACTTACATCGAAGATAGGCCACCAGCGTAGACGAGTCAGAGCAAGCAAAAGCAATGCAATTGTTGGCGAGCCGACAAGAGGTCCACGTCGAGTCTGGACCTGCCCAATCATCATCATCACCATCATCATCATCATCATCATCATCATCATCATCATCGTCATCATCATCATCATCATCATCATCGTCATCATCATCAGCATCATCATCACCATCAGCACCATCAGCACCATCATCATCATTATCATCATCATCATCATCATAATCACCATCAGCATCATCATAATCATCATCATCAGCCTCATCGACATCATCATCATCATCGGCAGCATCAGCACCATCAGCACCATCATCATCGTCATCATCGTCATCACTATCGTCATCGTCATCATCACCATTACCACCACCACCATTATCATCATCATCAGCATCAGCATCACCATAGGCATCATCATCCTCATCATGATCATCCTCATCCCCAATCCTCATCCTCATCTTCATCGTCACCACCATCATCCTCACCATCAACATCATCATCATCAGCATCATCACTATCATCAACCCCGCCACCATCATCATAATCATCATCGTCAGCATCACCGCCACCACCACCATCATCAACATCATCATCCGCAGCATCATCATCAACATCATCGTCAACATCATCATCATCAGCATTATGATCCGCAGCATCTTCATCATCATCACCACTACCACCACCATCATCATCATAATCATGATCATCAGCAGCAGCGGCAACAGCAGCAGCAGCAGACGCATCATCATCATCATCATCATCATCAGCAGCATCATCATCATCGGCAGCATCTTCATCATCATCACCACTACCACCACCATCATCAGCTTCATCATAATCATCGTCATCAGCAGCAGCGGCAGCAGAAGCAGACGCATCATCATCATCATCATCATCATCATCATCATCATCATCATCATCATCATCGTCAGCAGCAGCATCATCATCAGCATCAACAGCAGCATCGGCATCAGCATCATCAGCAGCATCAGCATCATCATCACCTCCTCCTCTTCCTCCTCCCTCCTCATCCTCCTCCTCACCCTCCTCCTCCCACTCATCCCTCCTCCTCCTCCTCCTCCTCCTCCTACTCCGACTCCTCCTCCTCCTCCTGCTCCTCTCCTCCCCTCCCTCTCTCCTCATCTCCTCCTCTCCTCCTCTCCTCCTCTTCGCCGCTCCTCCTCTCCTCCGCTCCCTTCCTCCTCCTTTCCCCCTCACCTCCCCTCCTCCTCTCCTCCTCCACGTCCTCCGCCTCCTCCTCCTCCTCCTCCTCCACCTCGCCATCGTCGTCGTCATCATCATCATCATCATCATCATCATCATCATCATCATCATCATCACCATCACCATCATCATCATCATCATCATCATCATCATCATCATCATCATCATCATCATCATCATCATCATCAATCATCATCATCATCATCATCATCATCCTCCTCCTTCGCCTCCTCCTCCTCCTCATCATCATCGCCAGCACCGTCATCATCATCACCATCATCAGCAGCAGCAGCATCACCACATCATCACCATCATCGTCATCGTCATCAGCATCATCATCACCATCATCATCAACATCACCATCATCAGTAGCGTCATCATTATCACCATCAGCATCATCATCACCACCACCATCACCACCACCATCATCATCAGCATCATCATCAGCCGCATCATCAACATCATCATCAGCATCATCATCAACAGCGTCACCATCATCATCATCATCATCAGCATCATCATCAGCATCATCATCAACAGCATCAGCATCACAAGCATCGCCATCGTCATCATCATCGTCAGCATCCACAGCATCATCATCAGCAGCAGCATCCTCATTATCATCATCATCAGCGTCAGCATCATCATCATCATCAACATCAGTATCATCACCACCCTCATCGTCATCAGCATCATCAGCATCAGCATCACCATCATCAGCAGCATCATCATCACCAGCATCATAGTCATCATCACCACCACCAACAGTAGCATCAGCATCATCACCACCAGCACCACCAACATGATCATCAGCATCACCATCAACAGCATCACCAGCAGCATCATCATCATCAATCTCATCATCAACATCATCGCCACCATCATCCTCCGCAGCAGAAGCATAATCATCATCATCAGCAGCAGCATCATCATCATAATCATCAGCATCGTCGTCCACATCAGCATCATCACCATCAGCATCAGCAACAGCATCATCAGCATCATCAGCGTCATCAGCATCATCAGCGTCAGCATCAGCAGTCTCTTCCTCCTATTCCTCTTCCTCCTCCTCCTACTCATCCTCCCCCTCCCCCTCCCCTCTCCTCCTCTCCTCCTCTCCTCCTCCTCCTCTCCTCCTCCTCCCCCCCCCCCTCCCCTCTCCTCCTCTCCTCCTCTCCTCCTCCTCCTCCTCTTCCTCCTCCTCCGCCTCGTCCTCCTCCTCCACCTCCTTCTCCTCCTTTTTTCCCCTCCTCCTCATCCTCCACATCCTCCTCTCCTCCTCGTTTCCTCTTCTCCTCTCCTCCTCACTTCCTCTCCTCCTCTCCTCCTATCCTCCTTCTGCTCCTCCTGCTCCTCCTCCTCCTCCTGATCCTGCTCCTGCTCCTTCTCCTCTTTCTCCTCCGCCTCCTCCTCCTCCTCCTCCTTCACCTCATCATCAGTTTCAGCATCAGCATCATCATCATCATCATCATCATCATCATCATCAGCATCATCATCAGCATCATCATCATCAGCATCATCATCAGCATCATCACCACCACCACCATCATCATCATCACCACCACCATAATCATCATCATCACCATCACCATCACCATCATCATCATCAGCATCATCATCATCAGCAGCAGCAGCATCAGAGCATCAGCATCATCATAACCAACA